TAATATGGATGAGAAATTGGTGGGTGTGGACTGGTCCACACCACATCCTGTGGTAGGGTTTTTTATTTTATGTATTTCATATATATTTTATGGGAGAGTAATGATAAAAATATTAAAAAAATTAATATTTAAATAATGAAGAAAGAGTGGAGAAGGAGAACTATCAGACTTGTGTTAGAATTAACATTAAATTTTATTAATAAAATATTAAACATTTAAAAATTAAAAATTATTAAAAGATAAAATGAGAACAATTGGACCAGTGTAACATGGGTGCGTCACACTGAAACATTCCCACAAACTATCCTCCACACCATAGTGTGGACCATCCACGAGAAAATACTATGATCTATAAATGATAAATTGGGTTGTGGCCTGCCCATATCCACACTATTTTGTGGATGGGGACTGTCCACACATAACAAAACACCATATCTTACTATGGACAGGACTAAAACGGTCTCATCCATGGTATTTACACACTATCAAATGCCACCTAAGTAAATCGGAATGAGCTACGGTGAAATGGTTATGCCATAAAGCTTTTGGCGATATATAGAGTGATAGACATCATCACCGTTAAGCAAAGTAAACATTTCATGTAGAATACATGTGCAAACAATTTGTGGCAAATAAGAAACTATGGAGGCTTATTCATATTGTGTAACAAAATTGAGCTAATCACTTTTAGGGGTGGCAATTTGTCACCCAACCCATTGAACCCACCCAACTCATCCAGTATCTAACCCACCCAATCCGTCCATTTACTTGGCAGATTGGAAATGGTTGACACYCATTGGGTCAATTTAAATGGGTTGAATCGGGTTGGGTTGTGGATAACCATTGATTAGTCACTAAAGATGCAAGTATTAATTCCTTAGCCATTTTTTTATTTTCTTCATTTGAGTGAAATAATTTATAATTAATGTATATTAATTATTGACTAAAATTAGTTTTGACTCGAATCAACACATTTCACCTTAATTGACATAAATCCAAATCAACCTGATCCAACTTTGGACCAGTTCAATTCGGTCTAAATATGAATAGATCCGATCACCTCGGTTTGCTTCGCTTGGGTTGGTCAGCCCAAGTCTAAACCCAACCCGATCCGACCATACAAATATGGGTTGACCCGAATATGAACAGAGTCGGATGGTTTGGTTTGACCTAGACTCAGTCCGATCCGACCCGAAATTCAGCCCGCTTGCTTCAACTCGGTTTGGATCACCTAGTTCAACCCGCCGTACAACCCGACCCAAAATTGGACTAGCCCGATTGACTTCCCTTGACTAGAGGTGTAAAGTGGGTCGTGTGGGCCGGCATGCCATGGCATGTGGGCGGCCCGCGCAAAGTGTGGGATGTGTCGTGCTGGCCCGTGAGCCATCACAAGTCGTGCTGCCCTCCCTAGTGAAAATTTTAGGGGTTGACCCGACATGGTCCAGGCCCGTGCGGGCCCGTGGGCCAAGCCTTGGGCCAAGTCGGGTCGTGCACCGGGCCAAAGCTATTTATTTAAAAAAATTGATAAAAAACTTAAAATTTTAATTTTATATGAATTTTGTGTATACAATAATTAAATAAATTAGTATAATAAAATTAAAAAAAATATTTATTTTATTAGTATATTATATAAATATCTATATATAAATAATATATATGGATTGTGCCGGCTTGCGTGCTGCGAGCGGCACAATCCGCAGACCATCGTGCCAAGTCGATCCAAGTTCATGTCGAGCCGGGCCAGGTCGCGGACCCATGCGTAACCTGACATGGGCTGATCCAAGTCAATTTGCAATTGATTGAACCGGTCCAGTCTGGTTCGATCGGACTATTTTGAATCCAAATGGTTCAACCACTCTTGATGTGATTAGCTCGAAGACAATCCAATTAGATAGTTCAAGTTGGCCTGACCAGTTTGAACCTAAGTGGTTCGGTCAAACCCAAAACCCGAACATAGTCAAATGGCTTYGCCACTTGTGTATAAAAAATAACATGCATGTAATGTGATTTGAACCTTCACCACTTGTGTAAATAACAACTATTATTACCACCAAGCTATGACCAACTTATTTGTCAAATGAGAGTTAGTTTTTTGTTTTAAGTACATAAATATAAAATTAATGGGTTTAGGCAGGTTGGATTGGGTCAAGGCGGGTTTGRGTTGAACCCAACCTATTTAATTTTATATAACTAGGTCATTAATGGATTAGCGGGTTAGATGAATTGAGTTGAAGCTCAAAACAAAGCAAAGCAAACCCAACCCAACCAGCCCAATTGCCATTGCTAGTCACTTTTACCAATCATATCCAACAATAGGAATAACCTATTGTACATTTTAGGGTTAAGTACTCTGCAACCCAATGCAAAATTCTGAATGACAGCTCCCCAGAAATTTCCACAAAATTCTGCCCTGGACTGATCAGTCATTCTCCCTATCTTTTAAAGCCATTTGGAATATTACAGGTTATAGAAAAATATTAATACATATATTTTGTGGAAAAGAGCAGAAGGTTCGCCCAAGTAAACATTTCTATGACTGATCTGCTGGTTCCCAATTCTAACGGTCCAACAACCATCCGGTCCAGTTACACTGAAACAACTAGTCGGAGATATCAGAGTCCGTCATTTTTTTAGGGACGAGATAGAAGACAGACCTTCACCCGTTATTGCTCTCTTTATACAGATAACATCAATAAGATTGTAAGAACCATGGCCAAAACCAACCCCGCCCCATGGGCCTCATTCTCGCAATGCATGAATTTCATTGATTCTCTTCAGAACTAGGTTTTAGCCCTTTTAGGCAGGTAGCACTTGGTTGGTATTCTTTGGTATATAGTGCTGCAAAATTAGGTCAAACAGCACCCTCCTCTACATCAGCTTTTACTTTCCTGGATTGAAACAGTTTGTTACCATTAAATTCTTGCATTCTACACTCTTTGTGTTCCTCATAACTAATGTTTCAATCTAAGAGTCCGTTTGGTTCACGATTGGAATCGGAATTCTTTGGAATCAGAATCGGAATGGCCTATTTTGCTTGAATGTTTGATCCAGACTGGAAATGGAGTTGGATTCTAATTTATGCTGTTTGGTTCATTAAGAGGCAGGAATCAGAATCAGCCATGATTTCCAATTTTGACCCTAATAAAAATAAAAAAGCAAAAAATGCTTGAAAATATCAAAAAAATGTAGAAATTTTGCAAAAAAAAAATGTAGAAATTTTGCAAGAAAAATACAGAAATTACAACAATTTTGCAGAAATTTCAGAAAATGCATGAAAATACTAGAAAATTTTGCAAGAAATTGCATGAAAATATCAGGAATTTTGCAAAAATAGAAAAAATTGCAGGAAATGCAGAAAGTACAACAATTTTGCAGAAAATTATAGAAATTACAGAAAGTTTGTAGGAAATTGTAGAAAATTGCATGAAAATACCTGAAATTTTGCAGAAATTGCAGAAAATTTCATGAAAATCAGAAAAATACAGAAATTACAATAGTTTTGCGGAAAAATTCAGAAAACAAAATACATGAAAATATCAGGGATTTTGCAGAAATTGTAAGAAAATGCAAGGAGACATATTCACAGCATTTAAGTGGGGAAAATGGGGCTAAGAGTGGAGCATTACAAACTTTCTCAAAGAAGTAATTTAACATCAAGGTTCAAAATTTATGGAAAAAATTAAAAATTTTGCACTATATAAAGTTCTTTACGGGGGAAAACGGGTCCTGGAGTGGAACATTACAAACTTTGTTCATTCTTTCTAACTAGTTAAAACAAAAGCACTATGAAGGTGCTAATTCCTAATGAAACATCTAGGCATTAATGTCAGGAGAACCTATGTGTTTATTTCAATGTTATCTTTGTTCAACATTCTTTTTATTGATTCTAGACATCTTTGATTATTGATTTTTTTTTTCTTTTGAAATTAGCACATGGTTATTTTATTTGCTTCTATTATGAACTATTTCAGTTACATGAAGGGGAATAATACAATTATCTTGGCCCAATAAATGTCAAGTGTTCCTCTATCACAGATTGTATTAATGAATCGCATCTAGGTGACTATCTAAATCCTTACTATGAAAAGAACTATTTCAGGTATTTAACAGACACAAAGACAGTAATCTGAATACTATTGCAAATGATTACCGAATGTAAAAATTCATAATAGTTGGTGACAAAAAAGCTTCAGGATCAAGGCATTTAATGTTTGAATAACAAAATTCCACAGATTTAGGAGTAGAGCATTACAAACTTTGTTCATGCTTTCTAAGAAGTTAAAACTTCTGAAATTCAAATGTCAAGATTCAAATAACTCATAATAAATTATAATCATTTCTAATACTTGTTTTTTTTTTTTTTGAATTTTGTACTAAAAGAACAAAAAAATACTAGTGAAACATAGGATTAATATATATAGTGAAAGTTGAGTTAAGATCTAAAATCGAGAAATTCTATGAGGTTTTAAGGGATGGGAAGAAGGTTGGGTTAGGCCCAACACTTCAGGTTAGGGTTGAAGGAATTTAGTTAGGGTTAGGGGTTTAAAACTTCGGGTTGGGCTAAGTTTAGCCTCAATCCGACTTAACCCGATCTGACTTACAGCCTTAAGAAAACGTATAAAATATTACAACGACGAACTTCTCATCTTTTTTAATGGAAGACTAATCGAAGGGGGTCTTTGTCACAGGCACCATATTAGAGGGGAGTTTTTAGAATTTAGCCCCCAAAAAATGCGATGTGGTTACTGGTTAGGTACTGGTGTAGTGGTGTGTGGAACTTCTTTCGCTAATATTATAGATTTTCGGGGATCTAATTGACTGGGGAGTGGAGACCACTTTCGCTAATATTATAGATGGCCTTGGATGTATTTATTTGCTGTGGGACCATCGTTATTGTAAGTGGATTTACGTCAAGGATCAAAGTGGGCCACAGCAGGACATGGAATGGAAGGGCATTTATATTCATTCGTGTTCACGGGGTTTTTGCACAGAGGCCGAAACCCCGTCGTAGCAGAAGCTCGATCTCTCTTTCTTGTGTTTTTTTTTTGTTCCTCCCATCTGCTTCTGTTTCGGCAAAGATGATGACCCAAGGAGGTTCTTCTTCCTCTTGTAACTCAAGATGGAATTATGATGTATTTCTGAGTTTCAGAGGAGAAGACACACGCAAGAACTTCACTGATCACCTCTACACAGCCTTGGTTCAGCGAGGGATTAACACTTTCAGAGACGATGAAGCTCTTAGGAGAGGAGAAGAAATCACGCCAGATCTTGAGAAAGCAATCGAAGAATCAAGAATTGCAATCGCTGTTCTCTCCAGAAATTATGCTTCTTCAAGATGGTGCCTGGAGGAGCTTGTGAAGATCCTGGAGTGCCGGAAGACAAAGGGCCAGTGGGTTATACCTCTTTTTTATGATGTTGATTCGTCGGATGTTAGAGAGCAAACTGGGAGTTTTGCTGAAGCATTTGCTAGACATGAAACACGTTCTGATTTGGGGGAGATTACTGAGAAGGTGAGGAGGTGGAGGGAAGCTCTTGCACAAGTGGCGGATTTGTCTGGTTTGGATCTAAAACAAGTCGCTGATGGGTAATTTCAACTAAAACTCTTCCTTGTCTCCTCATGAGGTTACATGTTAATTCTTCTCCCTTAATTGGAAGTTTTCAAATATTCTACTTTTACACGTAAATGATTGTTTGGTGAAAAAGCGCTTACAGGAAAATATAGATATTTTCAAAATGATATGGTGAGAAGGAAATAAGTGATTAAAAATAAGCCCAATATTTTGGTTTCTTTAAAATAGATTTTATTTTCAGGAATAACCACTACTAGGCTTTTTCACCAAACACACATAAATGCTTATTAGTGTGGATCCGGCCTAAAAAATAAGTGTGCATTCAAATAAGCACTTCAAAAGGGAGCTAACTGACTGTAATACAAAGTTAGGGATGCGTCTTTATGATCTTTAGAGTTACAGCCCCGATTTGAAGCAATTTGCTTTGGGGCTTGAAAGTGTTAAGCTTCAAATTGATATGTTTCAAAAAGCAATTGTTACCAAACCTTAATACTCTTTTTGGCTCATTTTTGTTGCAAACTCAAAAAATAAAAGCTTCCAAACGTGGGCGTAGTTCTTATTTGATTCCCTTATTTTGGTTTATATAATTCTATGGTTCAATTATGATGCGTAAAAGGCATGATATCAGAAAAAACTTATAATAAATCAACAGCATCATAAAAGTGGTAATCAATCAGCTGGATTTTTATCAAAATTCATATGGGTTTTGATTGGTCAAAGTCTTTTGGATATCATGTCTACATCATAATTTTTTCCCAACTCTATATCTTCCCCTTTAAAGTTCTCAAGGCTTCTGTTTCACCTAGATGGTGTTTGGGATCGATGCTATTTCTTGAGAGGCAGGCGTTTCCTCAGGAAACGGTGCTGCATAAGCATGTTGTCTTTTTAGAAAACATTTTTTTAGGTTTTTTATTTGGTACCACTGCTGTTGCTGCCACATAGGCATTTTTCAATGCCATATCAGCACACCATTGCTAGCAACAGTAGAAAAACGGGAAAACACTAAGGGGATGTTTGGAACCATGGCCATTTTTCAAAAAACGGTGCCACGTCGGATCCACATAGGCGTTTCAACAAACGCCCATGTATCTCATTGTTTGGTTCAGTCGATTATTAAAAAATCGGGTATGCCTAGAAAATTTGACGTTTCATGCATCGGTGAACCGTTTCCCCCAACGGTTGACTAATGTGTATCCTATGTGGTGCTTACCTGTAGCACATACATAAAAAATAGTGATGAAAATCATCTTACCAAACAGCATAGTGTTGCTCACTGCCTATGTGGCAGAAGCGTTTTTTTGTTAAAAACAGGTCTTGGAAGCATGGACATTTTTTCTTGAAAATCGGTCCCAAAAAGCACCCACACTTCCAAACACCATGTAAAAAGGGTGTTTTCTCAGATCACACTTTTCCCGATTTTCAAGGTGTGGTCAAAGAAAATGTTTTTCGGAAAAGCGGCCAACCAAAAAGCAGACATTTTCTCAGAAAATTGATTTCTGATGTGGAGGAAACAACGTCGATCCCAAGCACCTACCTAAAGTAAAGTTTATAGAGTTTGGTTAAAAAAAGAAACGAAGAAACGTACGCTTTTTGTATGCTTATATTTGACTTGAGTGAGTGGCTATTAAAACTAGTAACCTACATCTTAAATATTTTATGGATTGTTTCAACTGATGCATGCTCTTTGTGCTTCCTCTTCTATTTGAATCATAATTATATTTGACAGGTACCAATCAAAGTTTATTGAAAGAGTTGTTGAAGAGGTCATCACTAAGTTAAATCCAAGACACTTCGATATTGCAGTATACCCAGTTGGAATAGATTCTCGTGTGAAACGCATGACTAGATTATTAGATGTGTCATCAGATGATGTTCGTATTATAGGGGTCTGTGGTATGGGTGGTATAGGTAAGACAACCATCACCAAAGCCTTCTATAACCTTACTTTTGATAAATTCAAAGCTATCAGCTTTCTTCAAAATGTTAGAGAAGTTTCTCAGAAACCCAATGGTCTAGTTTCTTTACAAGAACAGCTTCTCTCTGACATCTTAATGACAAAAAACCTAAATATAAGCAGTGTTGATAAGGGGATCACTGTGATCCAAGAAAGACTGCGCAGTAAAAGGGTTCTTATTATTCTTGATGACGTGAATCATCGAAATCAATTAAACGCATTAGCTAGGAGTCGTAATTGGTTTGGTGGAGGAAGTAGAATCATCATAACAACTAGAGATATGCACTTGCTGGAGTTACTTAAAGTGGATAAAATATATGAAGTTGATGCATTGAATGATGAGGAATCTCTTCAGCTTTTCAGTTGGCATGCCTTTGCAGATGATCATTCTAAAGAAGACTATGTAGATCTCTCAAAATGCATTGCAAGTCAAACTCAAGGTCTTCCCTTAGCTCTTGTTGTTCTGGGTTCTTCTTTATTTGGCAAAAGCACATCAGAATGGAAAAGTGCTTTTGAAAAGTTAAAAGTGATTCCTAATGGTGAAATTATGGATATACTTAAAATAAGTTATGATGCACTAAGTGATGATGAAGAGAAAGATATGTTTCTTGATATCGCATTTTTCTTCATTCGAATGGACAAAGACTATGTGAATAAAATACTTGAAGGTTGTTATGGTTTCTCCCCAGAGGATGTAATCAGTAATCTTGTAAGTAAGTCTCTTGTAAGAATCGATAAAATGAATAGATTGGAGATGCATGATCTTCTTCGTGACATGGGGAAGAAAATTGTTCATGACAAGTTTCCAAGAGAGCCTGAGAAGCGCAGCAGACTATGGCTTCAGAAAGATGTCTACGATGTTCTGAAAAACTATATGGTAAGAGCTGTTACATTGACCTTTTATAATAATAGTGCATTTCACTGGTAAAAAAATAAAAAAAAAAAGTTTGAGAAAGAAGTTATCTCTATATATTTATGGATATTTTAAACTTTATTTATATAATGCATGCATGTATCTACATTATTATTGTCTTTGTGCCTTGAGTTCTTTATTGCGACTCATTTCATGACCTACTCTGAATCAAGTTGAGAAAAACCCAAAGGTAAAATTTCATAATGATTTGTGGTAGAAGCATAGGGCGTAGCCCACCACTAATCACCTGTCCTGTGGCAGTGTGGACCCAATCCATATTAGCTGCCCAAAGTCACAGCCTTTCTAAAGTTCACCATCGAGAAGTTGCTTATAATTTGTTTGATCAATAACTGCGGCTTTCATTAAATTATAAAATTAAAAGGTCTGTAAATATAAATATGCAAAGAATGAGAGATAAACCAKTTTATCTCTCCCTTGCTTAGCTAATGCATCTGCCATAGAGTTGGAGGTTTGCTTAACCCAAATTAATTTCACTCCCATATCCTTTGCCAGCCATTTGAATTCTTTTTTCTCATTGTTGTACATCCATAATTTCATGTCTATTTAGTAACCACCCCACTACTAATTTTAAATCTACTTTAATAATTAGTTTCTTTATATTCAATCGATTTGCGCTTTTTACACCTTCCATCATTGTAATAATTTCATCCCTAAGGGAGTCTCCCTCACCTATTGATCCAGAGAAGAGGGCAATTACCTTCCCTTCCTCATCCCTAATCACCCCTCCAATTCTTAAAATTCCAAGATTTCCAAGGCTATTCCCATCAAAACTGAGTTTTATGAATCCTCTCTCCGGTGGTGCCCATGAAGGATGGGTGATACTCTTATTGCAAGAAGAATCAGCCACTTCCTTCTATTTTCTAGTAATGTCATCCACTGTAACATGTGAAAAACATGACAATGGCCTATAATCAAAATGGACTCAATTAAGGTCTCTAAATTTATCTCCTTCTCTAAGAATATTCTGGAGTTCCTTTCTTTTCATATTGTCCAAATAATTGCGGCTCTTACATATCTCCACATGTATCTTCCCTTCTTTGGCCACTCAAAGGTTGTTTGAGCAAAAGGGCTTGGAACATCAGCCAGAGGGGTCCACCTACACCCAAACAAAGAGAGAAACAAATCAAATTCTCACAATTGGCCTTGCACATAATACACCAATTAGGTCTATGCCTTTGAAACAAATCGCAGGTGTTGATTCTCACAAGAACAATTTCTCAACAAAAGCTGCTACTCTAGGTGGAATAGACWTGCACCACACCTCCTTTGCAGCAAAAGGGCTCAAAGAGTGGGTTGTGGGCTGAGATAGTGCTTCGAAAAAGGAGGCAGAAGTAAATAGGCCAAAGGGAGAACATGTCCAGATTTGGCCATCAATTTTGGGTGGGTCAAGAAAAATTCCTTCAAGCAATTGAATTCAGGAAAACATAAGGAATGTCAGAGTCCCTTACACCTCTTCTAAATCCCAAGTCCCGGTTGAAGCTATTTCTTGAGTTTGGGGGAGCTGTGAAGTTAGAGGTAGGTTCATTATGTATTGAGGATAATGCAAATAGAGAGGGAAATTGGTCCTATAGTGGTGAGGTCCCTAGTCAAACTTGTACCTACAATTTGGTACGATCCCCAAAACACAGATCACACTTGACATAAGTTAAAAATAATGGTAGCACTGCGTTGATGGCCTTCTAAGGAGAAGCTTAATTTGTCATAGTTGACACTCCAGCATCTCATTCGTTGTCCAAGGAGAAGCTCAGTTTTGCACATAACCTATCTCTTTCTTAAGGCATCCTCCACAGCCACTTCCGCAACAAAGCTAGATTCCTGATTTAAATATTTCCTAATCCTATCCTCCCTTCACTTTTGCTTTTGCTAACTACTTTCCACTTAACTTGATGGTCCCTCTTTTCTTCCTCCAGTTCCCATAAAATGGCTCTCATCAACTTTTGAATTCTTTTGCTAACTCCTTGTGGGATCTTAAAGACTAAGAGATAGTACACAAGGAGGTTAGCTAATGTCAACTTGATTAGGCTTATCCTTCCTCTAAGAGATAAATAACCCCTTTTCCAATAGGCTAGCTTTTTTGAAAATCTTTCTACTACAGGATTCCAAAAGCATGCCTCTTTAGGATTGGCTCCAAAGGGTAAGCCTAAGTACTTCAGGGGCCACTAAGACAGATTGCAGCCCAAAATTGTTGCATATTCTAACAAATCTCCATCTTCCATATTAATCCTTACTATACAACTCTTACCAAAATTTACCTTTATGTTTGTCATTCATTCAAAGAGTTGTACCGTTGTGTTCAAATTCCGAACCTCATCTAAATCTTCACCTTCACAAAACAAGATGGTATCATTTGCAAATTGCAGGTGAATAATCGATACTCTGCCTCTTCCCACTCTCCACCCTTTTACAAATTGTCTCACACCTGCCCTAATCATCAGTCTACTAAGAATCTCTGCAATGAGTGTAAAAAGGAAGGGGGGTATCTTTGTCTAATCTCTCGACTAGCCTGAAAAAAGTTCACGACTGTTTTGTTTATTAGAATAGAATAGTGGCATGTCTAGATACATCCCACACCCACTTGCACCGTCTCTCCCCAAAGCTTCATTGTTCCATTACCTCCATTTATGTTGACCAGTCCACCAAGTCATAAGCTTTCTCTGGATCATGTTTACAAATCAACCCTTTCCTCCTCTTCAACTCCTCCAAACCCTTTGGATGATCAGTTCCAAATTTTTTAGGGATCAATGCTATAAATGTGGCATTCAATCCTGGATTGATCTCATCAGTCTTGGTAGAATAACATGTGGTGAGAATAAATTTCAATTTGAAGTCTTTCTTACAAATGGATGATCTACTAACTAGGTGGTTTAATGGAGTCTAACACCATGTTTGGTTAAAATTCTGCTCCCACCATTTGAAAAATGAGTTTCAACATTGATTTTTTAAGCTAATGTATTTTAGTTCCAAAGAATCGATTCATAGAATGAGTTTTGAGACCGATAGAAGAACTAGGTTCAACAATTTTCACACTTCCAAACTTAAAAATGACTATTAGAATCATAAAATTCATCAGAGTTAATTATCTGAAACCATGCCAAATGAAGCCTTAGTGACCTAGGAATATTCTGTGTAGTGGCTCGAAGAAAAGAGTCACTTGCTCCTTTCTACAACTTTTGCACATTGAATGATTTTCAACCAAAACATTGTTGTCAAATATTCCAAATAAACCCCTTGTATGTGAACTCCAGGAACAATCAATTCCGTGGTATGCCATGCCTAATTAGGATTCTGATTTTTTTTCACTCTTTTTATGTTGACCCATTCATGAAGTAAATATTAATTTTGTGTAAATCTTCAGCCTGTGCTCATACTATTGCCATGCCTAATTAGGGTACAGGAGCAATTGAAGGCCTCATCCTGGATAACTCATCTAGATCAATAAGGGAACCATTCAAAACTGCAGCCTTTGCAAATATGCAGAGACTGAGACTGCTTCAACTCAATTATGTAGACCTCAAGGGGAGTTTTGAACATCTTTCTAAAGAGTTAAGATGGCTCTGTTGGCATGGGTTCCCTTTAAAATGTATTCCAAGCAGTTTAAATCTTGAGAATCTAGCTGTTCTTGACATGCAACACAGCAGCCTCAAACAAGTTTGGAAGAAAATCAAGGTAGCCGGTTATGAATTAATGTTTATGTCTGTCTTTTTTTTCAATATATGATTTATTCTCATTGTTTTTCTTGCAGCCACTTAAAAGTTTGAAGATAGTTGATCTCAGTCATTCTCATTACCTCACCACAACCCCGGATTTTTTAGGACTTCCCAATCTTGAAAGTCTGATTCTTAAAGGTTGTACAAGATTGGTTAAGGTTGACAATTCCATTGGACATCTTCACAAACTCAATACTTTGAATTTGAAAAACTGCAAGAAACTTAAGGATCTTCCAAGTAACGTCTTTCAATTGAAATCCCTGAAGAACCTTACTCTCTCTGGCTGTTCTGAACTTGACAAACGTTTATCCTTCTGGTCTTGGGGATCACCACCAACAAGAAGTCCTGATGCTTACAGCTCAAATCTGGTACCCATTTCTGGCTTACGCCTCCTAAAAACACTAAAACTCACTGCTTGCACTTGGTTGGAGAGTTCAATACCGAGTGAAATTGGGAGCCTACCTTCATTGGAGTTACTGGATTTAAGTTGCAACAACTTCTATAGCCTACCGGATAGCTTCCGTTGCCTTGGTAAGCTAAAGCACCTAAATTTAGAAGGATGTACGAGGTTAAAATCACTACCAGCAGAGCTTCCATCAAGCTTAGAGAAATTGTTTGCTGGTGATTGTACATCTTTGGAAAAAATATCAAATCTTGGGAATTTATCTTCACTGCAAGAATTAGACTTGTCTGGATCCAACATTTGTGACCTACCACGTGATACAAGTCTTCTTTCTTGTCTCATTACTCTGACTTTAGAAGATTGCAAAAGGCTTCGACTACCCCCAGATCTTCCGTCAAACTTAGAAGATTTGTTTGCAAAAGGTTGCACGTCCTTGGAAAGATTGCCAAATCTATCAAATATGCAGTACATATGGGCCTTGCAGTTTAATGATTGTTACAATCTAATGATTCAGAAGTTTTACATGGAAAATATCATAACCCTCTTTCAGGTCTCTCTCTCTCATATTATATATATTATATGTAAATATTATCTGATGATGGTACAGGGATCGGAAACACGTCATATCTTTCTTCCCGGGAGTGACATTCCAGATTGGTTCAGCTATTGGAGAATGGGATCTTCTGTATCTTTTCAGGTGCCTGCAGTTGTGGATTGGAAGATCGAAGGGCTTATTCTGTGTGTTATTTATGCTAAAGAAATGGATGACCATGATGGGAGTCATGCGACCTTACGTCCTTTCGTTTTTTTCAATAACAAGACAAAAGGGGTTGTCTACCGCTTCATACCATATGCCTGTGACTTACCAAAATCCAGTCAAGAACACATGTGGCTGAGCTATAAACCCTGCAATGGGATGTTGGAAGCTGGGCACCAAGTGGAGGTCACGATAGGCCGCCAAGGAGGGTTGTCAACAAACAAGTGCGGAGTTCATCTAGTGTATGATTCCAATGAGAAGGGATCAAATTTCAACCAAGTTGTTTGCATGCAAGAGAAGCCTTGTGATGATCTAACGATTACAGCTACAGGAAGATGTCAATCCTCGTTGCTTGGAGGAGAGTTGATTAACAAGGGTAAATCTGTATAGCAAATGGAAGAAAAGGGCAAAAGCAAAATGTACGTATGCTGAAGCATTACCCGCTTGAGCCCCGAGAGACATCCTCTTCTAATTGGACGAGAAAGCAAGCTCTGGGTTCCTCTTTTTCACATTTTATCAAACAGCTGGAAACGCATATGCGACAGAATCTGAATCTCACGGTCACGGCTACAGGAGTACCTGGTTCTTCCACTCGGCAAGCTCGACCATCGTACAAGATGTGGTCAATATTCTCGCCTTCTCGGGCTCCCAGAGTCCCAGTGACCGTCTTGCCGTTTGTACCCAACCAATGGAACGTAGTCAGGTTCAATATTAGCCGAAAATGTTTGACCAGTGGAGTGTGCGTCATAAAATGAGCCAATCATATTTATGAATGGAGGGTTTATCTGATGAAGCGATGAATTTGTTAGATGGATGTGGGTTACGTTGCTCTTGGGTTACCTTATATGCTATTACCCCTTTTATTTTTCAAATTAAGAAATAACTACAGCAACATATACAGTAATTTGGRCGTAGACAATTTCAAGTGCCACAACCAAATTCAACCCTTCTATCCTATTAGTACATCTATATCAAGGTTCAAAGTATCGACCAAGAAAACCTCAATAAAATTTGTAAGCGCCATGGCCAAAATTAACCCCTCCCCATGGGYGTCCTCATTCTCGCAATGCATGAATATAATTCTCTTCGGAACTAGGTTTTATCGTTTTTAGGCATCACTTGGTTTGGAATTTTTTGGTAAAGATGCTGTAAAATTTAATATTCAAGTAATGAAAAAATTGTAAATTTAATATTAATTTACAATTAATATTAAAAATTATTATTTTATTGATAATGGGAATCATTGGACCAATATAATATGGGTCCGTCACACTGAGATATTCCCACAAACTATTCACATCATAGTGTGGACCATTTACGAGAAAATACTATGGTCCGTAAATGATAAATTGGGTTGTAGCCTACCCCTATCCACACTATTTTGTGGACGGGGATTGTCCACACATAATAGAACACCATATCTTACTGTGGACAAAATTAAAACGGTCTCATCCACAATATTTACACACTACCAAACGCCACCTACCTAAATCAGAATGAGCTACGATGAAGTGGTTGTGCCATAAAGCTTTTGGCGATATATAGAATGATTGACATCATCACTGTTAAGCAAAGTAAACATTTCACGTAGAATACATGTGCAAACAATTTATGGAAAATAAGAAACTATGGAGGTTTATTCATATTGTGTAACAAAATTGAACTAATCACTTTTAGGGGTGGCAATTTGTCACCCAACCCGTTGAACCCACCTAACTCATCCAGTATCTAACCCACCCAATCTGCCCATTTACTTGGCAGGCTGGAAATGGGTTGATCACCCATTGGGTCAATTTAAATGGATTTGGCCAGGTTGGGTTGTGGATAACCATTAGGTTAGCCACTAAAGATACAAGTATTAATTCCTTAGCCTTTTTTTTATTTTCTTCATTTGAATGAAATAATTTATAATTAATGCATTAATTTTCTATTGATTATTGACTAGAATCAATACATTTCACCTTAATTAACATAAATCGAAATCAACCTGACCCGAGTTTGGATCAGTTCAATTCGGTCTAAATATGAATAGACCCGATCACCTTGGTTCACTTGGCTTGGGTTGGTCAACCCAGTCCAAATCCAACCTGATCCGACCATACAGATATGGGTCAACCCGAATCCGAACAGAGTTGGATGGTTTGGTTTGACCTAGACCTGGTTCAATCCGACCCAAAATTTATCCTGCTTACTTTAACTCGATTTGGATCACCTGGTTCAGCCAGTATTCGTATAACCCAACCCAAATTGGACCAGCCTTATTTACTTCCCTCGACCCGCTTTGCACCTATCGATTCAGTCCCAAACCCGTGCATAACCTAATATGGGGTAGTCCAAGTCAATCCACCATTGACTGAACCARTCCAATCTAATCCGACCAGACTTATCCAAATCCAAATGGTTCAACCACTCTTGATGTGATTAGCTCGAAGACAATCTAATTAGATATTTCAAGTTGGTTTGACCGGTTTGAACCTAAATGGTTCGATCAAACCCAAAACCCGAACATAGTCAAATGGCTTCGCCACTTGTTTATAAATAACATGCATGTAATGTGATTTGAACCTTCACCACTTATGTAAATAACAACTACTATTACTACCAAACTATGACCAACTTATTTGTCAAATGGGAATTAGTTTTTTTTTTTTAAGTACATAAATATAAAATTAATGGGTTTGGGCAAGTTGGATTGGGTCAAGGCAGATTTGGATTAAACCCAACCCATTTAATTTTATATAACTGAGTCATTAATGGGTTGGTGGATTAGATGAATTGAATTGAAGCTCAACCCAAACCAAACCCAACCCAACCAGCCCAATTGCCACTGCTAATCACTTTTACCAATCATATCCAACAATAAGAGTAACCTATTGTACATTTTAAGGTTAAATACTCTGCAACCCAATGCATAATTCTGAATGGCAACCTCCCTGAATTCTCCCCTGAATGACAGGCCCCCATAATTTTCCACAAAAATTCTGACCTGGATTGATCAGTCATTCTCCCTATCTTTTAAAGCCATTTTTAATATTACAGGTTATAGGAAATATTAATACATATATTTTGTGGAAAAGAGCGAAAGGCTCGCCCAAGTAAACATTTCTATGACTGATCTGCTGGTTCCCAATTCTAACAGCCCAACAACCATCCGGTCCAGTCTTACACTGAAAAAACTAGTCGGAGATATCAGAGTCCGGCATTTTTTTGGCGACGAGATAGAAGATAGACCTTCACCCGTTATTGCTCTCTTTATACAGATAACAGATTCTTGCTTGAATATCGACGATACTGCCTTCGAAAATATCAATAAGATTGTAAGAACCATGGCCAAAGCCAACCCCACCCCATGGGCCTCATTCTCGCAATGCATGAATTTCATTTGTTCTCAGAACTAGGTTTTAGCCCTTTTAGGCAGGCAGCACTTGGATGGTATTCTTTGGTATGGTAAAGAGTGCCGCAAAATCAGGTCAAACAGCACCCTCCTCTACATCAGCTTTTACTTTCCTGTTTGTTACCATTAAATTCTTGCATTCTACACTCTTTTGTGTTTCTCATAACTAATGTTTCAATTTAAGGGTCCGTTTGGTTCATGATTGGAATCGGAATCGGAATGGCCTATTTCGCTTGGATGTTTGGTTCAGACCGGAAATGGAATSGGATTCCGATTTAAGCTGTCTGGTTCATTAAGAGGCTGGAATTGGAATCAGCCATGATTTCCAATTTTGTCCCTAATAAAAATAAAAAAGCAAAAAATGCATGAAAATACCAAAAAATGCAGAAATTGCAAAAACATTGCAGGAAAATGCAGAAATTACAATAATTTTGTAAAAATTTCAGAAAAATGCATGAAAATACTTGAAATTTGCAGAAATTGCAA